TTCCAGGCGCTCGCAGATATCCTCGTAGAGTCCAGGAAAGCCCTTGTATGACAGTTCGGGATGAAGCTCAAACAAAGCCCACTGCATCTTCCAAGTCTCGACAGACACACCGTCTGGTTTGCACTTCAGGAATGCTTCGAGAACGGAAACCCGAGACAGGACCGAAATCGCGACGCCATTTTCTGCAATATGCCGATTCTCATCGAGTTGCGCTAGGTCGCCAGATATTGGGTGGAACTTGGACCTGCGTGCGAGAGATTTCAGCGTGCCGGACATACTGCGAAAGCCAGGATCGGTGGGATCGTTTCCGGGTTCGGAGCGCCGACAGGAAATACCAAAACCACAGGCCTTTCCAAGGAGGCGTGCACATGTCTGAGTCTTTCCGGTCCCCGAAGCGCCAGAGAGCAGACTTTAAGAGTGTCAGTGCATTTCGATAATCGAACAAAGAAAGACACGCACGAGACTCGGGCCGAAAATTCGTTAGCTAAAGGATCGGTCTTGTCTTTTTTCATACCGATCAAATCGCGCGCAAAGACCGAACTGCTCTCTCCCCCAAGCTTAAATTCTTCGGACAGCAGTGATCCTTTCTTTAGGCGATCAAGAAAGGCCTTGTACGTCTGAAAGACATCATCGATAGTCTGCTTGACTTCGTCCGGGCTTCGTTTCCTGGGTGTGTCTGCGCCGGGGCCAATTCAAAATGGGCATCAGGAGAACGTGGATGACGTGACTCACAGGGTTCATCAGATGGGTGTGGATGCTGTGAGCTGGGAGGTGCTGTCTTGACTTGCTCGAAAGACGGCGCAGGGGCTAAAGTGAAAGCGTCAGGTTCTTGATTCCAGTGAAGCAATAATGTGGACGTACGATCTTCCGGTGTCGCATCCGTAGTCGGGACATCTAAAGTAGGTTGGATAGTTTGCGTGACGGGCTTCGGGTTCGGGTTCGGGTTCGGCCCATTCGGTTGCGGGCTCTTTCTTTTGGGTGTACCTGCACCAATGTCAAGTTAGATTTGGCATCGAGTGTACGTGAATCATGACTGACCTGGTCCTTCGCGGTGCTCCGTGCCTTGATTCTCGGGTGTACCTGCACCGGTGTCAAGTTAGAATTGACATTGAGTGGACGTGAATGACATGACTCACGGGGTGGTTCGCCAATGTGCTGCACATAGGATTCACCAGATGAGCGTAAATGATGTGGTCCAGAGGGCGATGCCATAACTTTCTCGAAAGACGGTGAAGGGGCTAAAGTGAAGAGTGTCAGCTTCTGGATACATTTGACGCAATAAGGGGAACGTACAATCGTCCGGTGTTGAACCCAAGGTGGGTAGGGTTTTCCACGCTTCTATAATTTCAAGTCAGTGCTATTCTTGTCATTAGTAGATCGGGAAAAAACTTGCCATGATTGACAATCCCATAGAAGTCAGAAGCCACGATATCCATTGGATGAGAGCTGATCAAATGCCGCCGAAAGGACTGGATCAGATCACGCAACGTTTTGTGTTCGTTCAACAGAGCCCAGGCACCGTCTGTGACCAGTGTATGGTGTATCCCCAGAGCGACCAGAAGCCTGTCAGGAGTCACCCTTGCCAGATCCAATGGCGGCACCTCCCTGCTTGCAGCAGTTAATATCTCTTGACACTTTCTTGAATACTCTGCCCTTTGCATACGAGACAAGTTCCTCCAAAGAGACGAAGTATCTGGTGAAGCTTGCGCATGCGACCGAGTAGCATCCATAGAGGTCTCACAGTTACCATCGGGAGCGCCGATGCGAGAGTGATGTGCGTCCGATTCTTCCTCATCAGATGATTCGGGTATAGGGTAGAGTGCGTGTGAGGGGGAGGGGCAGGGGGAGTGGGAAGGCGAAGACGAAGGAGTAGGGAAATCCGGAAAAGCACGACGAAGACTCCGCCCGAGCAACAATGAGTTGTCGTCTGAGTTGAAGGGTCCTTCTGAAGCAGCACGTGGAGGAATGGGTACGGGGGCGACATTTGGAGGAACGGAGGCGACATGTGGAGGAACGGGGGCAACGGGCGGAGGAATGGGGGCGACTTGTGGAGGAATGGGGGCGACTTGTGGAGGAACGGGGGCTACATAGGGAGGAACGGGGGCTACATAGGGAGGAACGGGGGCTACATAGGGAGGACTTGAGTCGTTCATAGAGGGTCCTTCTGAAGCAGCATGCGGAGGAACGGGTACGGGGGCAGCATAGGGAGGACTTGAGACAGGGTTCCTCTGAAGCAGCACGCCGAGGAACTTGGGGGGGATATAGCGAGGACGATTTGATACCTGTTCGGAAGGGGGTAGATGGTCTGCTGTCCGCTTTCCTGTAGACATGGCGTGTTCGAAGAATCGAAGGACAGAGAGCAGGGTCGGGACTAGAGAGTCAAGAAAGTTACGAGGGGGAAGGCCGGGGTTGATGGTGGAAGAGAGGAGAGAGGCGAGAAAGCAAGAGCAGGCGACACGAGAGCTTTGAACGGCCGACGTTGTGTTTGCGGATCGTTCCGCGTCTATGTCGTCTTAAATAAAGTAAGCGAGGAAGATAACGGTCGAGCCTGACACATAACGTGACCTTCGGACACGGTGGCGCCGTGGAAAGGCGGGACGCCTCGGCCGACGCGCTCGCGTCATGCCACGTGCCCAGTTCCTTTCTCCTCGACCACCGCATACCTCCTTTCACGCTTGGACAATCCAGTCCATGCACGATGTACCCGCTTCAAGCTATACAGAATTGCACAGAAAGGAAACGTCGACGCGAAGATGTCGATAGCCCAGACGAACCGCCAGCAAAGCGACATCACCAGCGACATCTGACGGCCACACCATCGAAGCGTAAGGCGCGTCTCTCGACGAAGCCAGCCCTCTCGACTCAGAGACGCTATTCTCTGAGGGCAACCGCAGAGCGGGCACGAAGCAATATCGCAAACGATCTAGCTCATATTCCAGTTGCTCCCGCTCCCCTTCCCATTCCAACCCCAGTTCCCGCCCCAATCCTTCCAACAACCCGCATCCCCACCAAACGTCCACGCAACGCTCTGGAAGCCGATATCTGTGAAGAGCCACCGGCAAAGCGTCACCACCAGCGACATCTCACATCCCCACCGAAACGTAGGACCCGTTCATCGACAAGGGCGACCGCCCCTACCCAGAGCCGTTATTCGCTCAGGACCACCGCGGATCGTGTTCGAAGGAATACTGCAGCAACTTTGGCTCACAACTCGACTGTCGTACCTCCCATTACTGCTCCAACCCCAGCTCAGACCCCAATCGTCTCTCCGCCCCCCGTCCTCGCGAAGCGTCGACGCCTCACTGTCGAGGACGATTTCGACGTCGATGTCTCCGAAGAACCGCATGCAAAGCGACATCGTCTGGCACCGTCACCTTCGAAACACGCGAGCGACTCGTCGACCAGGCCAGACATCGCCATTCAGAGCCGTTACTTTCTTAGGATGACTACGGATCGTATTCGAAGGAACATCGCAGTAACCCCTCCTCACATTCCAGCTGCCTCCCCTTGCATTCCCGTACAAACCCACCCTTGCGGATCGACGCCTACCCCGGAATTCGTCACGATCCCTGCCTCAACCTTTGTCGACGCTCCGGTTGCTCCTTCAGCTCGCACCTCCGATCGCGTCCAAGCTCACCGTATCCCCATCCAAGCTTCCAATACTGCCGCAACTCCCCTTCCTCTCCAACCTTTGGCTAATATCCCCACTCGTCCTCCCGTTGATATCTCGGCTACCAGTGCTACCTCAGCACACACACATGTTCCCTGGGAAGAAGTTCCTGGACGCGAACGAACTCGTCTGTCCGCAATGTGGGACAAATTAATCATTCGGGTGTGGGGCGGATACTCCATGTTCGAACTTGGAGGCCTGAATGCCTATGCCCGAGCGCTGGGTTTATCGTCTTGCGATAAGCCCGATGATCTCATTACGCACGCCGTGCTTGTCAAATATCCAGAGCTCGTGGACATCGTCGGGGAGTTTCGGGATGACTTTACCAAACTCTATAAGTATTGTGACCATCGTGAGTGCAGCTGTTCATCGTCCCTTATCCTTGTACTTACCGGGGATTCCCAGCTGCATTCTTCAATGCCCTCGATGCACCGATTGACGCGGCGTTAGCCGAAATAGAACCTCTGTTCATGAGCTATCGCTTGCCTTATTTCTATGATTATTTCGATCCTTTCTCAGTCGATAATCTTGCTGTGGCCCTGGGGGACAGGTGGGAACCTGTGGCAGACACCTTCGAGGACCGAAAGTGCGTTGATCTTTGAGATTCATTTTGTAGCCCTCACTGATCCAGTTGTAATCCTTGGTAGACCTTATAAGACCATGGATCCCGAACCACAGACATTAACGCTTGTAACAGGTGTCGGCACACACTGGGGTTTCTATTTCGCATATTCGCCAAATAAAACAACGGAAGAAGTTTGCAAGAGTAACTTGTCCCAAGACCTCCTCCTCGCCACCCAAGAGCTCGGTGCCACCGTCGACACCGCGTCACTCAGCCCTGAAGCCATATCATGTCGTACCGCTGCGGCGGAGCGCTGCTTCTATGCCCTCTATCTCACCCGCATCATCGTACTTTCCAGATTTTTGGAATTTCTTCCTAAAGACTTAGATGATGGTTATCACCATGCATGTTGGGCCGTCTTTCAACGGAACCCACCTCGGACATCGGAGGGTGACGATGTTTTCTCCGTGGTCTACCGACAGGTGGCGAGGGCTCGAGGTTCCATTGCAGAGCTAAGGCGGACGGCCGAAACCCGTTTCGAAACTCTGGTTGAGAGGAACAAGCGCCTGTTCGTCAGGCTAAATGCACGGGGGGCCCGCTACCCCCCGAGGTTTCCATTCTACCTTGCAGTCGACGAAGTCGAAGCCCCCACTTCCCCCAATTTGTTGAGCGGTCGCCGTCCGGCCTGTTCACGGTTTGGCGTCAGTGCCTTGTTTTATGGATTTGATACTCCGTGAGGCCTTTCTCATATCGTGTGCGTATCTTCCTTTATCCTTCGTCCCGTGTCTTTCGCCTATTCTGACCCCGCCATTGTCTTGTTAGTTGTCGCTATTCACAGCCTCGAGTTCGACTTTATCGGATGTACCTGGCCTCTACGTCTCCCGAACCCCGCCTCGGTAAAGGATACCGCAAGAGCCGCTTGCAGCCCTGAGACACAACCGCCCTCCGTAGTCCTCTCATGCTCAGCTTTGTTGCCTACCTCCTGGGCGACGATCCCGCACTGCATCCTGCGCGCACCACTTTAGCTTAGTGGTCGCGAGGAGGTCTCAGGCGTTCCCAGCCGATGGACATCTCAAGACCTACGCCCCAACCCAGACCC